CCCCTTGTTTACAGGTCAGTTTAAGTCTGAGGAGAAAACAGGAGCCAGCCTAGATGCCCACAATTCTATTTCCACTGCACATGAATGTCCTTTAAGGGATCTTTAAATACCCCACCCATGAGTATCCCAGTCTCCTGAACTGACTGAAAAGCAGAAGGCCCTGAACACAAAGCTCACAAATCCAGGGCATGATCCTGCAAAGTGCTGACTTCTAGATAAACACACTAAGCTCTCATGGATACCTCCAGGAGTCAGACTGCTTAAAGCTTCCCAGGCAGCACTTGAAAGAACAGGCCTCTAGTTCGCAGTTTTAAAGTATTTTTTCCCAGTAACACTAAGAGGAGGTTCCCTTGCTGCAAGCCCGAGCTCAACAGAACATGCCCTCAGTGGTTAAGGACCCCTTCTGCTCTTACTGCAGTATTATGTGGGCTGTGAGGGACAGCTCCAACTTTTTAAGTATTTTCATTGTCTGGTCTTACGCTGCTGGTACTTTTCATTTACAAACCAAGACCCAAGGATCTCCCTGAGCACTGAGAGAAGATCCAGGGGTTTAGCTAGATTAGGTGTGTCCAGGTGGGTTCTTAGAGGGGAAGGAGCTCTTTCTGACTGGAAGATTTATTCTGAGATATTTTAAATGGTAAGAGAAGTAGAGTTTGGTCTTCTAGGAGGAAGACCCATGGCTGAGAAATGCTCCCTATCCTGAGATACATGCTGAGCACTTGTGACTTCCTGACTTCAGTGATACTCACAGGTGCTCAGCACCTCTCAGAACCAGACTTTGAGGCCATTTATAAATGTGCTCAGGGGGCAGGGGGGCGTGCTTTAATTACCCCAGTTCCAAGAGCCATGCTAATTAAAAGCACCAGGAGGAGTGTCATATGTATCAGCATCCGCATGCTGAACATTGGTGGCAGGGCGCTTTGAACTAAAGCTCGTCGAACAAGCTTTAATTTAAAGCACCCTGCTGCCATTTTTCAGCACAGGGATGCTGATACATGATGCTGGAGTCTGCTAGAGCATGGAAATTACCATGTAGTCTGCTCTAGTGTGTTGGAGCAGCCTCCCTGTATGTGTATAGATGCCCTGTCTCCTATACTCTTCCAAAGCAGGGTTTTAGCCATAAGTTACACATGTGAGGTACAGGGGGGCACATGTCCCCTGAGACTGGCTGCCATTCATGCCAACACTGGCTTCTGCAGGCAGTCGCCGTTTGCCATGCCGACACTGCCGCTGGCTTCTACAGGCAGTTGCCACCCTCCTGCCGCCGCCAGCAGCTTCTGCTGTTGGCCATAGCTCGCCACGCCAACACTGGCTTCTGCAGGCAATTGTCACCCCACTGCCACCAGCTTCTGCGGGCAGTCACCACTCACTGCCAATGCTGCCACCCACAAACTGTGCCCCCCATCTCAGGAGGCACCACTCACCCATGGTTTCAGCTTTCTTCCCTTGAACTACAACAGGGCTTCAGCTGAAGTAGAAGTGAAAGCCAGAGCTTCCTAAAGGAGCATAATTCATTACCCAACCCTCAGCCGCCCCAAGAGGTGACAGAGAACACAGCTTTAGCCTCTTCCCAGGACACCCAGCACCACTGGGAGGCAGCTAATGTCGGTGCAGGGCCCCAAACTGTGGAGTCTGTCAGTCATGAACACTGCCCTCTGCTTCCTCCTCTTGGAAAATTCAGATCCTTTTGAAATGTGAACATGGTTGCCATTTTTTGCTGAGTCTGTTCTTTAGGCTCTTGGGGTTTGGAGGTAAATTACAAACCAAAAAATAGGTTTTATATATATGCAAAACTGTGTATTTATGTCTGAGTTAGAAACAAAAAATGTGAATATCATGATGTGCTCAGAAACATATTTATTTACTAATATATTTATCCATATACCTGGTCTGCTCGTGTTTTTGTTCTGTATAAAGTCATCAGAGGCTTGTTTTAAGAAGGTGCCTCCTTCCAGTTCCACAGAAATAAATTATTTCAAATGACTTGATTTTGGTCTCTGATGCTCACGAGAAAAAAGAATAAGGTTGGAATAAGTCCTTGCATCTATCCCTGGGTCCTCTGTGGATGAAGGCAGGAGCTGCAATCAAGTAGACTGGCTAGGTGTCACCACTTACTGAGTGAACTCCTACAGCAAGAAGCATACTTGCCTACTACTTTGAGATTTAGATTTGGTTTAAATAACACTGTATGAATTAACTAAAGGGAATCTTCTGTGCGTAGTCCATTGTAACAGTGGCAGTTTCCACAGAACTCTGGGAAAATCAGGAAAGTGACATCCTGACTTTTACTCCCCACTGTTGGTCAGCCTGTCGGCAGCAACATGCTGTTCCACAGGTCAGTGCTAACTCACTCTGGCTCAGAAGGGATGCTCCAGCAAGCAGACCTATTCCCAGAAAAGATCTAGCAGAAGTGTCTCCCCAATGTCATCTGCCTCCTCCTCATTGCTCTGGTTCTTTAGTCATGGCCTGGCTTTAGATATGCTTACAACACCATGTTGCACTCCTCAACAATATTTACTTTATGCTGCTTGACAGTGCTTTGAAACTAGCTGCATCTCCAAACCAGATGGTTGATGGGAGGAAACAAAAAGAATTATGGAAATTATATGGTTTGCTCCCAGTTCTTCCAGTACGTGTCCCATACTGCACAGAGCAAATAGTCCCAAAAGGCATGTTTGTGCAACAGTTCTTGTCAATCATTGGTGCAGATACACAAAAACCTACAAGTTTCAAGTGTAGACAAGTCTTGTGAAGCTATCATGCTATTTCCAGTTGCCTATAATTTTACCTGCTTTGAACTGCTCAGCCTGGATTTTTCTGCCTGGGTCTCTGCCTGCAGCTGAATGATTTTGGAAACTGTCAGGAAAAAATATGAAAAATTAGTTGTTTTGTTAAACTGTTTGTGTGGCTCAGGCATTGCAGCATTCTTTAGATGTCGGGCCGCCAGAAGGAACGAACCACCCCCAGCTACCTCCACACAGGGTCTTAAATGCCTATATTCTTCTTTTGGTGGCTGCATCTAACATGTTGGTGCCACTAAACCCCCGCGCCTCGGTTCCTCCTATAGGGCATACACAAAGCCACCTATGCCTATTTCCCTGAAAGATTTTCAAGCCAAGCATTACACAGCTCACTCAAGATCTGCATCACCTCTTCCAGGACTAGCCCCAAGCAGGCCTAGCAGCTACCCTGGTAGCCCCCGCAGTGAGGACCCTTGCCAGGCACGGGAAGATCAACGCGGATCAAACCGTGCCGCTGATTTCTGCGGTGCTGCACGTGACCCCCGCAGCTAGAGGAGCTCTTTTTAAAACGTGCTCGTAAAAGCTGCGCAGACCTCCAGCGAGACACGGGTCTGAGTCTCTTCCCCAACTCGCCTGCAGCAGGTGCGAGCGGCCCCGGCGCGCTGCTTTGCGAGCAGCAACGCTCGGGGCAGGAGGGACCGGTGCTGGGACACCACCAGCACCAGCAGCCTCCTCAGGGCGAACAGCCGCCCGCCTTGCCCCTGCCGGGCGCCTCAAAACGAGGCTGGCCCCGCCCCGCGCTGTTGCCAGGCAACCCGAACGGCCGCTTCCTGCCGCGCCCTGGGGGCGGGGCGGGGTGGGGCTTCCCCATGGCGCTTGCGCGCGGCGGCCCTGGGCGCTGGGCCGGAAGTCGTTCTGCCGAGCGCAGGAAGTGACGCGCGCTACGTGTGCTGCGTGTGGCGATGGCGTTGGAGACGGTGCCCAAGGATTTGCGGCACCTGCGGGCCTGTCTGCTCTGCTCCCTGGTGAAGGTACGCGGGCGGGAGGTGGGGGGCGGGGCCGTACTGTACTGTACTGTACTGTACTGTACTGTACTGACCACTCTCCGCGCCCGCAGACCATCGACCAGTTTGAGTACGACGGGTGCGACAACTGCGACGCCTACCTGCAAATGAAGGGCAACCGCGAGATGGTCTACGACTGCACCAGCTCCTCCTTCGACGGGTGAGCGGTGCGGGGCCGGCCCCTCTTCTCGGCCCGGTGTGGGTCCTGGGCGAGGGGTTGCCCAGCCCCCAAGGGCCCGTCCCTGCCCGCAGGGAGAGGTCCCGGCACCAAGCCACCCCCGTCCATGCAGCCCCTCACCACCAGCTCTGCGTACTCGGGCTCCTGGCTGTTCGCTGTCCGGTGCTTGCATCCTGCCCAGGTCGTGCTGGCGAGGCCGACGGTCCTTGGTGCACAAGCACATTCTCCACCTTCGTCCCACAAGCCCCTCAGCTGGGGGCTTCTACCTAGAGCCATCGCTACAGGCATGTTTGGCACATTTCACAGACCCCTGACACCGACCCCTTCTGCCAGCAGAGGGAGACCTCTTGCTGAGGTTCTGGCTGCACTGCTATTCCCCGCATCCTTTTGCTTATGCCTTCCCTGTCAAGGGCCCCACCAAGTCCCAGGACCCTTCCACTTAACCTTCTCCTGGATCTGATAGCTGATGTGTTTGGCCAGACCAGGAAGACAGCTCTAGCCCTGGCAACTGTGGGGCTCCGTCTTCTAATCCTTCATCCACTCATCTCCAGGCAGGTGTTTCATTAACTGGCTCCTTAGCCTTGTTCGAGGACCAGTGGGTGCTGACTGGTGCCCTCTGCTTAGTGTCCCCCGGTTGGCGCACTTGTTAACTTTTGATCTGCACTTCCATCACTTGTTGTGTTTTTTGTCCCCTGAATCAATTGTTGTTTCTAGTGGCATTCATAATTAAGGGAGCCTTAAAGTTTTCCTGTTGAGCCTATGCCTTCTGTACCTTGGTACAACAAGTAAACCAGTCTGTGAATAAGGGAAGCCAAAACGGGGGCTGTGAGTTGAATATTAACATGTGAACCCAAGAAGGAAGACCTTTAGGATGCTGAATTGAGGTTCTGTAATGAGGAGTGTGAATTTGACCCTGTAATAGCCTAGTGAATGAGAGAAGGGTAATCTGGTGCCTCGCATCCTGGGGAGTGCTGGGGAGCTCTCCCGTGGCCCTATGGAGCGGAAGAGTAATTTACAAAATAAAAATAACTTTAAAGATTTAGAATAAGCTGAGTTTGAGGTCGTTTCAAATAACATTAAAATGTTTTCAAAAGTTAGCAGGGATGAGGAGGGTGGGCTCTATAATAGTGCAGTTCCTTTGACTCTGACTGTATTAGAAGATAGCAAGTGTTGTATTTCTGTGTGAAGTGAGACACAAGGATTGATTTGAGGAATTGTATCTAGTGACCTTTCAGTATAGTAGTTTACAATAATAGAGTCGTTAGTGCAGCTTGCTGTGGACCGACAGGTGGAAGAAATAATTATGTTTGCTGCCAAAATATTTTTCTTTATGTGCTGCTAACATAGAGCAGGGGTGTCAGACATGGCCTGCAGGTCAGATCTTGCCCATGGAGCAGCTCTATCTGACCTGTAGAGCTACTGGAGGGCCAGTCAATTTAGAGGTGTGGCCTGACACAAAATCTGTGGATGTGACTATCAGCAGCAACAGGGTGCGGAGCTAGGGCTGTGACACACAGCTCTCCCCTGCCCTGCAGTTTCTTGAACCACCACCATTTGTATTACTTCTGCCATGGCAAGCAACTGCCTGGCCAGTGTCTGCTTGCTCCACTTGCTAGCGCTGTTGTCTTCCCATGCCCTGGGCTGGATCCATCCCATGAGGAGCCCCATGGTCCAGATCTGGCCCAGGGCACAAGGTGAGCTTGCCACCACTGATATAGAGGAAAACTATATGCCTCCCTCTTTCAGCAAGTGTATGTATTTCTGTAGTGGAACAAGACTGTTGTTTTGAACTTGTAATTATCAGATCCTGCTGATGACTTGCAGTTTGGGGACTGGGGTAGGAAGAAAGGTATGTGGGGAAGGAATGAAAAATAGGGCATATATATGCCACTACATCTGTGGTAGGGAAGGTGGTTTGAGTTTGGACTAGGAAGGAGTTGGGGCCTTAAGCTGGTATGATTTAGACTGAGCTTGTACGATTGTTATGTATGTAGTTGTTAACTAGAAAGGAACAGTTCTGGTCAATGGATAAAAGAAGTGCAGCCAAGAGGTCATAAATGGAGAAATGGGTTTTTGGGGGGGGGGGGTTTCTGTAGTTTAGGACTAAATGGAACAGGCTTGCCTAGCGAGCCAGAATAGGTGACCGTCAGTCAGAGCTATGTAGACTAATACAGAAAGATGTAAAGGATGTTACCAACCTTTTTCCTTCTCTGTTGCCCAATGGTTGACTGTACAGGTACTGTCAAATGATAAGAGGTAAAACTAGTTGGTGTTTTGAAAATTATTCTGGTGCATGAGAAGGAATAGAATTATGCTTAGTTTGCTATCTCCTCTGTCCCAGTGGGACTAATTGGAATAAAAGGAAGAAACAAGTAATTCGTGAAGTGAAAACTAGCAGCAGAGGGTAGACATTGCCTCTTACAGAAAGGATTGCCGTTCTACAGTGTGTCAAGTTCCTGTCTCATGGAATGCCTAAGCTTTGTAGAAAGGTAGTTAAACGCTCAACTTTATGGCACCTTTTAATTTTTAAATAACCTTCCCATATGCCTCTTAAATGTTAAAGTTTAAGAACCTTTCTCCTACCAGATAAAGAATTCCAGGCTCTCCTTTCCTTTGAAGCTTAGGAAAGCTACAGAAAAAATTAGTTCCTACTGTTTCTGACTTCCAGGCTGCAGCTGTACAGTTACAAGATTCCCCATTGTGAAGGATTCTCTTCCTTCTCACCTTCTTGAAAGCCTTAGAATATCTAATAGCTGCACATAAGACCACAGGAAAGAGAGATCCAAAGGCTGCAGAAATCTTGTCCAGTCCACAGTTTCCTGTCCCAACTCACCTTGAAGTTTCAGGGCCCTGCGTATATTTTGAATTTCTAATGGGGGAAAAAGTAATTCCAATACAAAACCATTCTTGCCTACAACATGCATGAGACATTGGGTATCCCCTTTTTTAGTCTTTAGACTTTTGGTCTGGAACTGCTCATTCTTCCAAGATCCTTTCACAGGGGGGTTGTGCAGGATTCCACTTCCATTCCTCTTGTTAACATGTATGTTGTTGACTAACTTCAGAAGGAGTCTTGAGCTGTTGACAGCAGCATACCATTAGTTCATTGATTTTCTTAGTGCTGGATAGATCTGATTGCTGGTAGGTGGTAATGTTCACACTGATGGGGTATTGCCACCCTTTGTATGTGTAACTTGTGATTGTGACATCTTCCAGATTTCTGAGCTGCTTAAATGGAATCAATATCTTCTTATAAGTGTTCTGATTATGGATGCACCTAAAGATCTTGCAGAATGAGGGTGCTAGCCTTTGCTATCAGTTGACATGATTGGTCCCCAGTTCACTTCTGGGTACAATTTGAGGTGGGTTTTTATCTGGAAATCTGTATAGCTTGGAATATCCTGGGATTTGACTAGCACTGAAGCTCTTAGACATCAGATCATGTTCTGTCTGAAGTCTCTTTCCTTGCCCCTGTGGGCAGAGGCCCCTGCCAGCTAAACCCAGGGCATTCTCTGTAGACTGCACTCTGATGTGACTTGCTAGAACACATGTTTTGTGATCTTTAAGTAGTGGTGCTGGGAAGTATAGTGGTGGCTGTTGGAGATAGACATGACTTTCTTAACTTGTAAGGTCTGGTATGTTTCCACATAGGGAGGTGGAGGGGTCTTTCCTGCTTTTATTCCCCTCTGTGTCCCCCCTCCACACTCCCAAATTCCACCCCACCCCCACCCCGGTCTGCTAATGAGAGCTGCGGCATGGATGTGAGCAGTAGAAGTCAGTCCATTTTCTATGCCTCCATGACCGTAGCCCTGGCAGGTTCTGTGCTGCACAGTGGTGGTGAGGGGGAGTTTGCCTTGCAGTTTGCAGTCTGAAATTAACCTTGTGTGTTAACCCATTTCTCTTCTGCAGGATCATTGCTATGATGAGCCCTGAGGACAGCTGGGTTTCCAAGTGGCAGCGAATCAGTAAGTGACTGTTCTAACACGATTCTGACTTCAGCTCATCTTTCTTTAGGGAATCTTAAGATAACAGCCATTGCTTTCCTGGCTGTCTCTGTCAGGGCCAAGGAGGTTGGCAGGGTTTCTTGCTCAGTGATCTGTAGCTGACTGCAGTGGCTCTTAGAGACAGCTACTTTTTTTCCGTGGAATATGTGTTCATTCATTACTTTCCTGGCACCATTGGATTCAGTTCTGCCTTCTTCCTGTAGATATAAAAAGGAAAGTGTTCAAACTCCAAATGAGAGGAGTGTGTTTTCCCATGGCTGGAGTCTTAATGAATAATCTAGAATGCTTTTGCTCGATTCTCTCTCTCAGGTAACTTCAAGCCTGGTGTGTATGCGGTGTCCGTTACTGGTCGTCTGCCTCAAGGTAACCTTCACATTGTTTCTAACTGGAGTGATGGAGTGGCATCTCCCCATCACTTTCACAGATGCAGGAGGGGAGGGGAAGCTTATGGTTCAGACATTGCACTTGCAGCACTCCTAACTCAAGCTCATATGAAGCTAATTCCAGCTCCTTGAGGGGTGACTTGGTCCATGTTTACATACTTACCTGGAAAGGAAATACTTGGTACAAAAGATCCAACAGTTGGGAGCTGAATCCAAAGCCAGAAAAATTCAAACTAGAAATGAGGAACTTTCTTTTTATTTTGAGCAAAGGCATTTTTTTATCCTTGGAAGCTACCCCAGGAAGCATGTATTTCTGGTTTCTTATTCATTACTTGCAGACTTCTGGTCTTCAAATTGAGATTAGACATTTTCTGAAAAATGTGCTTTAATCAATGTGTTGGGTTTGGTATAGGGATACCTGGGTAAAAAGGAATTTCCTGCAATAGACAGGTCAGGCCAGATGTTTTGTGTTCCCTGCTAACTCCAGCTCTGCAATAGGGCTGGTACTTCTCTACCTCACAGGTGTGTTTCATAGAAAGATGTAGTGACTGAAGTCTCGGTATTGTGGGAATGGAGAACAACAGAAGTGTATTGTGTCCCTACCTGCCCAACCACCAGACTTCCACAGCATTACCTTCCTCTCCCAGATGGCACCAAAGCTCATGGTTTTTATCCTTGTTGCAGGGATTGTACGGGAGCTGAAGAGCCGAGGCGTGGCCTACAAATCCCGAGACACAGCCATAAAGACCTAAGGAGCCATTAAGTCACATGGAGGAGTCCTTGGTGCTCTGCCAGCATTCCTGTTGCAGATAGGTTGGAGTACAGAGACTGCTCTAGAGCACTGTTCTGGTGGTTTTCAGCACTAGAGTGGGGAAGAGCAAGCAGGAACTTGCATTGGGGGTCCTTGGATCAACTCTATCCTGTCTGTGTTCTGGACTCCTCTGATACCACTCTTTTTGCCCAGAGAATAGCAATAAAGAATCTGATTGGGGGGAGGAGGGGCGGGCTGCGGGCCTCATGATCTGCAAAGGGGGAAGAGAAGAGGGGGTGTGCTTGTGATTTTTGTAAATATACCCAATAAATCATGCACTCAGTTGTTTGCCATTCTTTTCTCAGTCGCCTTTTCCATGTGCCTCCAAGGGCTGAATCTGAGTAGAGGCAGTGCCCCAGTTAAGCCATTGCCTTAGCTGTGGGTTTGACTACTTGCAGACCACTGCATGCAGAAACTGTAGAGCTTGGGCCCTGCAACTGCCACCTCTTGTCTGGGCATCTTAGATTACAGGTCCCTTCTGTACCAATGAGAAGTCATGCATTGTGGTTGAAGCACTTGGCTCTAGATGATGGGTGCAACAGGCAGGAGGAGTCATGGAGGAGGGAGATGTTCTTAAACCTTTCATCTGGAGATGATGTCTGCAGATCCCAAGAAGCTTGACTACCCCCACTGTGCTACATGGTGCGTTGACAAAGTTAGGCTTTGGAGAGGGGAGAAGTATCAGTGCTATGCAGAGCAAGAGGGCTGGTAGGGACTTTGGGCAGTGCATACTTGAGTTTTCCTATTGGAGCTATAATACCCGCACTCCATGCAGTTTGGCTTTCAGTTCATGGAACTCCTTTGCCCTGCCCTCCGTGAATGATGGACTTAGATCAGTGGTTTTCAACCTGTGATCCGGGGACCCTTGGGTCCACAAAAGATGACTGTGATCAATTCAAAAGTATATGAATACCCACACTTAAAATTCAAAGGGGTCTGCACCTCCATTCAAATTTTTTTCATGTCCACAAATGAAAAAAGGTTGAAAACCTTTGACTTAAATGAATTCTTCCTAGTTCTCTCTCCTTATTTGTCATATTAGCTGCTGCCCTTTTGCTGCACATTGAACATCTCAGCGGCTGTTTGAAGATGTGTTTAAAAAAAAAAAGGTGCTTTACTTTAAAATCAGCACCTTCCTGAGCCAAGCCCTGCACATGCCCAGAAATGGCAGTGCCTTAGTTGGACCTGGCTTGCCCAATGTCTGTAAATACCAGGTGCTTTAGGGGAGCTTTTTTGACACTCAGCTGATTGATTCAGCTTTAGCTAAAAGTGCCAAAAAGCCTCGCTGAAGTACCTGATCTATACAGGTACTGCAGAGCTGGGTCAAAGTAATGCACTCCTGATTAAAGCATGGGATTTTTGGGGCGGGGGGGTTCTTTTTAACATCTGCAAGCAACCTGTTTGCCTAGGGCTTTGCTCTGTTTTGTGCTTGTCCAGGAGGAGTTGCTGACTGCAGGAGAATGGCTGCACTTTAGCTCATAAAGGTAAGCTAGTAAAGTACTTCTGCAACCCTTACAAAGCTTAGCCATGCAAATCCCATTCCTCTTACCTCTCCTGTGTTAAGGTTGCTTGAATTAACATTCTAAAGCCCTATTTGTGTCCTAAAAATGCTGTACTTGTTCTGAGGAAACTTTCTGCAGATAGCAAAGAAAATCCAATGTTTTGATGGCAACATTTTCAGAGGTGCTACCATGACTTAGTTTTCTGTCCCTCTGACATCAGCAGGATTCATATGTAAGCCATTTAGAGCTACATCTACAGAAGCACTTTGCCACTACAATGTGCGTCAGCACCCAGGCTCCCTATCCAATGAATGCATAGAGTTAGGTGCTGAAGAACTGGATCTAAATCAGTGGAGCACAACTTAGAGCAGCAAGTCAGGTGTTTGTGACCTTGCTGCATCATGGGCCTCCACTCCCCTCAGGTAGGGGAGGAAGAGACTGGGATAGGAAGTGGCTCCTAGTGTTGGAGGGGAGGAAGAGTGCTCACCTCCAGCTGGGAAGGGGTTCAGTGGCATGTAGCAGGGAAGGGAAGGGAACTGAACCAGCCAGACTTGAGATGTTTGTTGATTTCCAACCCCCACCACCACAATGTCTGGATCCAGTCACTTCGGGTGAGATCCATGAGGTACAGGTTCAGCACCACTGATCTAGATGAACCAAAAAGCTTAGTAGGGCCTGAGATAAGCAAGAGGAAATGTTGAAGAAAGGGGTATTTTTTAACTCCTTCCTTGGACTTGCTTGCTTTACTAGGCCAAATGGATGTTTTATGGCGGTGTTACATCAAGTAGCCATTGTAGCAAAGATGAGAATCCAGGCTTCCCTGCTACAAGGTGAGTGAGTCGCCACACTGGGACTATGCTCTCTCTGGCCTAATTAGTATTATTTTGTGCAAAGTGGAAGCTTCCTTAAGAAGAATTGTGAGTCCCACTGCAAAATGTTCAGTAGTCATTGATTACGTATTTACCTGGAACACTGAAGAAAGGCAGACTAGGGAATTGAGCCCTGTTCTTTTAGCTCATTTAACAATTACCTCCTCCACTTCAAGAGATTCGTAAGTTTGCTTGGATCATGTACCCTTTTAAGTACATTATAATTCTGTGCACCCCAATGATTGTACCCTACACACTTCTTGCCCTCTGTGCCTGTGCCCATCCCACCGATCATCCCCTCCCCTCCTTATTTTCTACTGTGGTCCCTCCAGCTCCTACCCAGCCTGCTGGGAGCTGCTGCTACTGTTGTTGACTGCCCTGAAGGAACAGAGCTGCAGCAGAAGTGGGGGGTGAGGCAGGGAGTTGAGGGGACAGGTATGGGGAGGGTGGGGGTTGGCAGTCAGGGGTTAGGCTTGGGGTAGGAGAGAGAGCAAGTGGTTAGGCAAATGGAGGCAGGGAGTAGGGAGGCAGGTGGGGGGTGGGGACAGCTGTAGCAGCAGGTTGCAGGAGGTGGTAGGGGCTAGGGGGCACACATAGGTATGGGGTGGGAGGCAGGCACAGACGGGCAGACTGCAGGGGTGCGTGGGTGTAACAGAGTCAGAAGACTCCTCTTAACAGGGAACTGCAGCAAGGTGAGCTGGCTCAGGGAAAGCAAGCAGTAAGGAACTAGCTACCTGCTGGGGGAGTTTAGGCAAAAGTCAGCAGTAACAGACACAAGGGATAGACAACCAGGGTGTTCAGGGGCAAAAAGCGGCAAACAGACACTAAACAGCTGCAAGGGCAGGCAGGCAAGTCCTTAGGGTCAGAATGAGCCCACCTGTGATGGCTTCTGAGTCACCTGACCAGAGGGGGGCAGGGCTTAGTATGTACATAAGCTCAGAGGCTGCAGAAGAAGAAGCTCCTGACCAGGAGGGCATAGGAGAGCTCTTAGCTGGCACTGGTGCTACCTTGGGGGATGCAAGCAGCATGTTGCTGCTGCTGCCGCCACCTTGCAGAGGAATGTGACCTGGGGTAAAGGGAAGTCTGGTTGTATAGACAGGTAGCCACTGTTTATGCTCAGACCCAGAGTGGGTTAGGTGGTGTTATAGCCAGAGGGCTTATTCCTTTGCTGTAGTTTATACTGGTGGTTTGGGTGGGACTGTGAGGGATGGTTTTTGAGGTCCCAGGGGTACCCAAGGGGCACACAACTGCTTTGAGCCTAGCCAGGGCCAGGTAGGGCACTGACTGGCTGCACCTGAGGAGTGAAGCCAAAGCTTAAGAAAGCCACAGCAAGCAGGAGCTTAGCAGGGCCAGGGCCCAGCACCCTAGAGGGGCAGAGATGGTGTCAAGGGCCCATAGCCTTAGAGGGCCGGGGCCCAAAGCCCAAGAGGAGTGAAACCAGTGCCTGAGAAGGATGAGAACCAGAGCCAGGGGGCCCAGTGCCTGCAATGGGCAAGAACCGGGGCCAGGAGCCCAAAGCTTAAGAGCTAAGCCCAAGCCCAGTGGGGCAAGGCTAGGGTTGGAGCCCAGGAGAAGGGTCCAACACAGTGGATCTGAGCCGAGTGGCCCAACAAGAGAAAAGGGGCAGAGGCCAGTTGGATCGAGGTCCCAACAAGGGAGACTGATTGGACAGGAAACATCTGAGGGATGGGCATGGCTGAAAGGGGAGATGATCCCATAAAATTGAGCAGTGAGCAATTAGACTATAGCTCATGAGTAGATGAGATCTTGCTCAGGGATCCCTGGTGCAGCCTCCCTTTTACCAGTATATGTATTTACACCAAGGCATATATATTTACATCAAGGGGTAGTTGCAATGGGGCAGAGGGGTACATTACAGGGGGGGAGGGGGCAGGAATGAGGGGGAATGAGCAAGAGGTGGGGTTCTGGTCCCTTCTCCTCTGACCCTGCTTTCCCCACCACAGTACTGGGGGAATAAATTTATGATGACCTTCTGTTAATTGGATTCTATACATGGAAAATTTATAACAAATTGATACAGGTATACAATCTAATTTACTGGGGAGCCATCTTAAATTCAAAGCCATCTTGGATTTGGGTAAATATGATAAGATTCTTATCCTCTGTGACTTGGCACCTCTTTCCACTTGAGGGCAATTTTTCTCAACTTGGGCGTCTACTCTCAGATTAGCTGTTATCTAGTTGAGGCTGCCTTTATGTTGCAGTTCTGAATCTCTACTGTAATAGAGGAAATAAATCTTGATGTTTTCTGCCATTGTCCTTTGGCTCTTCAAACAAGGAGATCAAGAGGGTTCTTGCTGCCGGTCGTCTCTGGGGGTGTCTGACAGTGAAACGACCTCTTTCAACCTGGAAGTGTTTTATGTTTGGGTTGCTATAAAACATCTTGCTTTTTGAACCAAGTCAGCCTTTAACTGGCATCTGCTAACCCGTCCTGTCTGGAAAATTAAACAAACTACTTGTATCCTTTTAGCCTGCCATTCTGGTGTAAAAGGGCCTCTTCATCTTCAAGCATCGTCTGGGCCCCCAGTAGTGAACAGGGAGCCCTCACTTTTGAAAATACCAGCCTGACTGTTTAGCTGGGAAAAAGTCTTCCCTTTTGAGGGAAGCTTATCTCCAACCTATTCAGACTGGGAGTCTTCCATCTTGCACAGGGGCAATTTTCAAAGGCAAGA